TGTGTATGTTTTTTGCCGGCGAGACCACTTCACGCGCGCCCCGCACACCTATTAATCATGCTCAGCTGTGCTTGCAGAGAGGAATATTTCATGGCTGTCCTCTATGAGGCTCCACCCAACAGCTGACTCATACATACACAGACACCCACAACCAAACAATTGATGGAGCTTGGGGACTCTTATGGAGAATTGGAGGACAGATTGTGGGCCCTGAAGGGGATAAGAACTCCACAGGAAGACCAAGAAAATCAACTAACCTGGACCCTTGGGGCTCTCAAATACAGAGCCACCAAACAAAGAACATACATTGGGCTGGATTTTGGCTTCCCAGCATATGTGCATCTTAGACTTCTTGTGATATATGAACAACTTGAACAGGCAAAAGCTGTTGCCTTTACCTGAGTTATGTTCTAACTGAGCTGCCTTGTCTGCAGTGGAAGAGAATGCACCTAGCCTCATGGAGACTTGATATGCCAGTGGATGGGGATACTGAAAGGCCCACTCTTTAGATGTAAAACAAATAATAAAATTACTACTACTACTACCACTACAACTGCTGCTGCTGCTGCTGCTAAAAATAATAAAAATTTTTAAAATGATAGTTACTGTATCAAATGGAAAATTACACTATTATTTGACATTAAACATCCTTTTATGTAGTAATTTAAACATGTATTAAATTGATGTATAAATATCATACCGTATTATAAATAACAGAGTTTTCAAGGTAATCCTGAAATCATTTCTCTAGAAAAATATATTCTTCATCTTTGAAGACATTTCATTTGTCATAATTAAAACGGGAAATGTCAGAATTCCAGAAACTTTGTTTTCATTTAAATAATCATTTCTAAAGATGAATATCTATTCACAGAACCTAAGAATACTATGCAGTACAGAGTATGGACAGTTTCAGTAGAAATCACCATGGGGCTAACTGGTCTGACCATTTAATCTCACATTTCTCATATCATCTCATTTTGCAGACAGGCCCACAGCTCAATTACTTTCCCTGTTGTCATCTGATTACTCATCTCAGGTATCCTCACTTTTGGGTTCCAAAGAGCAAATCCTAGACATCGGGAGTTTATTTGATATTCTATTTAGATAAACAGCTGGCAGCCATGGAATATGTTATACCAAAGGATTAAACTTCATCAGAGAAAGACAGGCTTTCTCAGGGATTTTCTTGTAGATTCCTGGGGGGGGGGAGAGAGAGAGAGAGAGAAAGAGGGAGAGAGAG